GTATATCCCTGTTTTACTTAATCAAATGAGCAGACCGATAAAGCATTGCAAAACCACAGTTGTAATAGAAAATGGTAAAAACAAATGACATTAAGCATAAAATCAAGGCCCACACTTTAGGAACAAGCAGATAATAAAGGGTAGAGGAGTTGTGTTCTACATTAAGTTAGGGGTTAACTATGGTTAATGTAATTGCATTGATTTGAAGGGACTACAATTGCAACGCTGCATTCTGTGTTAGCCACTGTGAAATTATTTAAGCAGTGCAGACTTAATTATCTCTGCTTGCACCAGAGTCTCCTCCTATTGCTAACAATTTGTGCCATACTGTATGTAGTAATTATTTACCCCAGAAACATCTCTCTCTAATTATAATTAAGGATGAGCAGTATATATGTATTCTCTCCTTAGCCTAATTTATCTAGTGGTATCTTAATGAGCTGTTGAAAAGTTTCTCTCTCTTGCTCTTTATTTTCGAATCGGAGCAATGTACCTTAGATTCACATACTGCTGCTTGGCAACCATCTGATTTCAGTAATAGGACTGTGTGACAACTTCTAATGAAAGTTTACCGCATTTCCTCCCACAAAGTGAAGCAGTCTATAGTTGATAAGTGAAAACAGTGCAAAATAGTTCTAAACAAAAATGTCAGTGGATTTTGTTGTGAGAGGCCAATAGGGGATGGACTTCTTCGCTGGAGGAAGAGTTATTATGGATTCTGGACTCATACTTTGGCCAGGAGTGATGTTTTAAAGTTAAAATGCCTTTATAATGAATTTGTTTCTTACAGACATGCAGCTTTTTACTTCACAAGATGTTAATTGATGGACTGGAATCGTGTGGATTATTGTAATGTTTATATCAGCTGTTTGGACTCTCATTCTGACGGCACCCATTCACTCCAGAGGATCCATTGGTGAGCAAAGTGATGTAATGCAAAATTTCTCCAAATCTGTTCCCATGAAGAAGCAAATTCAGCTACATCTTGAATGGCCTGAGGGTGAATGCAAAAATTTTCATTTTTGGGTGAACTATTCTTTTAAAGTGCTATCTTAAAATACTGATTGAAATAGCATTTTTTTAAAACATGAAATTAATTTAATATTTTTTATATATTTTCTAGATAATATTTTTTATAATTTACTTTGGCTTTAGTATAACAGCCAATTATTTAACATTGGAAACATACACATATTTATATTATAATCCCTTAAATTTTTCTCACCAAATCGGTCTTTATACATGGATAAACAGCTGCCTTAACATTTTTGTTTTGTTTAGCATTCTCAAACTATTGCTAATTTAATTCCACATACCTTCCAGCATCTTAAAATGCTGCATATCTAACTTTATGATTTACTTTTGATCAGTATTGACAACACTGGGGAGTCAGATATTCTGTGGGAAATATAAACAAGGCACATGATATATATATATATATTTGTGCTTTTCTTTTCCCACAACATGATATTTCTTTATTGTTGTGTGGCTAAATGTAACAAAAATCTAATAAGAGCATCTTGGCTGGTATTGCTTCTGTCCTCTAATGGTCATCATATCAGATAAAAAAAAGCATTATCCATGAGTGCAGATTGCAGTTGTGAGTGCCCTGTTTCCGAGGTGTCCTGCAGAGGGCATTGCAGCAGTGTCACAAGCTCAACAGCACAGCCTGTCTTGGTCCTGCAATGAGTTATCAAACCAAGCTGCAGCTGCTGCGGTCCAGAAACACAGGATGTACAAACCCACTTCAGTTTCTCAATCGGTCTAATTTTCTTTCATAAGAGAAAGCTTGCATTGTACGCCTTTATTATATTTCCCTATAGAATTTCTCTGATTTGGGTCTCGTGTATTGCAAAAACGACAACTTCTAGTGAAAGTCACCTTAGCTCAGCTAAAGGTTAATCATCAAATTGGAAGGTGAATGAAACTAAAGAAATAGAGTGGAACAGTGAAAGAGATAAATAATAGCTTTCTGTATAGTTTCTTATTCATGCTGAAATTAATATTTAATATAATCACGTAATATGATTTCCAATTAATATGCATAGAACTGAATGTAAAGAAATGCAGAGCTAATTTATCATTAATGGCCCTTGCTTGGTAGAATAAATCTGCTTCCATGGGAATATATTTAGATGCTACATTAGCCTATATATCAACAATTGGTAGAAGAACATTAGCCTCGTTTTCTTCCTATCATCCCTGTCATTTGGGTGAATGAGTGAGTGAATATGAAATGCAGAGGGAGACATTCACACACCTCTAAATGAGTTTTATTTACATTAATGAACCCGGATGGTGGACATTTTTACAAACAGCCACAAATTATGTTGAAAGGCTATGACAATGCAGCATGTGCTTAGATTCACTTGTATTAACTTTATTTTGAGTCTTGTTTAATGCAATTATTAATTTGGGACTCTCACAACAGTTTACAGCATATGATGATGTCAAAAGCCATTAGATTTGACAAAATATATTCTGTAATACTGATTCAGCGTTACAGAAAATTGAACCTATAAGTTAGTAAAGGTTTTGATGACTTTTAATCATATTTCATAATAATTCAAAACATTTGACATAGCTCTTTTTCAAAGTCTTTTTAAGTTCTACTGGAAAAAAGTGCCAAACTAATCAAACTTCATGCAGGCACTCGTTATTCATAGAGATGGAGCTTTAGTGTACACATCTCTTCCGGTCCTTTAATATATTTGATTTTCTTTGAGCACTGAGCGTGTCCAGCCTTCATTTCAGACTGTGTAAAGACACCTACCCACCCTGCCATTTCTATTTCCCCCTTTAAAACGAACTTAAACATCATAATATTTTCAATGAATGGATTGGATAATTATCTGATTCCACAGAAGAGTTTATGCAACGTTTTACCCTAAACAGATTTCCTATTTTGTAAGCCATTGCTAAATGACAAAAGAGAATGTTGATTGATTAAGCTGTCTGTTTATGGCTTTAACAGCTTAGGACAATGACCTAAATGAAATGGGGGAAGGGGATGCAATTAATTAACAGGAATTTGTGCTTGTAAAACCTCAACCTGTACAGACCAATGACCTGTCATTGCAGTAAGTGTCTGTCAATGTGCGAGAGAGATATTTAAAGGCCAGCCTCATCTGCCTTTTTACTACATCTCCAGCATCTGTGAAAAAAATAAAAGCAGATGGTCACAACCACATTTGACCTCTGATTTAATCACATCAGTGTTCTCTTGGAACCTCAGAGTGCAGAGATTTACTGCTGTAATAATCACTAAAACAGTGACATGATGTTTTGGAATACCTAAAAAAAAAAGAACTCACAGTTCTGCATAGCTCTTATCCGTACATAGAGAGACAGATGCAGTTTACAAGTCGTACTCTCAACAAGAGAGTTAAAAGGGAAAGGACTGAGAAAGGGAGGGTGAGGGGATGAGATGATAAGATACAACCTGGCCAGATGTTCTGAGAGACTTCAAAGTCTTCAAGAAGCTCTGAAGTAAGTTACCTGGGAATATATTGAAACAGGGCCAAAATCTGAGCGGCACCTGATTCTCAAAGAGTAGCTATGCACGTGACTATAGGTCAAAGCTAAAACGGGTTTTTTTTTGTGTATAAGTAAAATCTTTTTTTTTAATCTATGTATGTGATTTGAAAAGTATAACAAAATGGCAATTTACAGATAACGTTAAAACCCAGATCATTCTTTTTCTTTACTTTTGACCAAATATTTGAAGTACCTGCTTATAAAAAGTGTAGGATATATCATTTAAAAAATGGCACTTTCCACAAAATATCTCCTAAAACTGTTAAAAAAAGAAGACAATAAAAAAACGTAATAAATGAAAACATATAGTGAGTGAAATGAACTGCTTACACTTCAAAATGTATGACTGTCAGTAGGTGAAACTATTTTGATAGGAGTTGTTTTATTTTTCATTAATTTTCTATAGAGTTTGCAAGCCCCGTTACTAAAATTTGGGAAATACATATCTTAAAATCCTTGTTTGTGTGATCAAATGAACTGCTTACACTTCAAAATGTATGACTGTCAGTAGGTGAAACTATTTTGGTAGGAGTTGTTTTATTTTTCATTAATTTTCTATAGAGTTTGCAAGCCCCGTTACTAAAATTTGGGAAATACATATCTTAAAATCCTTGTTTGTGTGATTTTGCAATTTTCTAGCAGTAAACATAAAATAGACATTAAAACAGACAAAATCAGTAAAACTGAATGAATGGCTGACACAGTCAACTCAGTTTGTGTAAACACTGAGAAAATGTAATGAGGTTACTTATTTATTTCCCCAATGCTGTAGAAAGGGTCCGATTTATTTATTTATGTTGTGTAATATCCAGCTTATCAACAGAGTTGCATGCAAAATATGGATCACGGATTAATGTTATGTAAAATGAGATATGTATTTTTATTTTGTTTATACTGATTCAAAAGGTTATGTCACAATTATTGATTGTCGTATTATTTTAATTGTTAAATACTGTCGAGAAGGTCAAGACCTCTGCGCTTTGACATCTGAACCATAGGTGGGGGAGGGAACATTTACCCGACATGTTTAAAACTAAGCTAGGCCTACTTTATATGCCAGGTTAATTTCATGTCAGCTAATAGTTTCTCAAACACATCTAATAGCCTATGTCTCACAAACATGGGATTCGTCGTGCCTCTAATTCTTCACACCAACATGCACCGTGTTCGTGCAATATCTTTATATTATTATTATTATATTTAAAGTATAAATAGGCTAATTATAAATTCAGTTCAAGCTTTTTAAAAATCATTATCAGCACAATGCATCCATCAAAATCAAGGAGGTCTATAATGTCTCGTATGATGCAGTTAGGACGCTGATTATTCAAACACAGTATCAGTCTGCGCTCTTGAGCGTCTGTGATGAGAAATGTGTGTTATGCGCGCACACACGCAGGCGCAGAGCATCACACGCACACACACACACACACTGCTGTGAGATTATCAGAGCGCTCGGCAGCAGAGAGAGAAAGAGGGAGACGCGGAGGAGAGCAGCAGCCCCACCGATCCTCAAGCGAGAGAGAGAGGCAGCGTCTGGAGCAAGAGCTGGGCGGGGAAATAACTGCGGTACTGAAGAAATACTTCATTGCCGAACTGCAGAAATTTGTCGGCATCAGAACTTCGTCCGTGTAAAGCAAAATGTCATCGTCGGGAAAAGACAACAGCTCCCAGCATGCGAATTACGTGGGACCGTATCGCCTGGAAAAGACGCTCGGCAAAGGACAGACAGGTTTGTCCTTTTGTGTGCTTGAGGTCGGGGATGATGACACGCGCTATCACCGCTGCTCAGTAAATATGATGCGTGTGCGTTTGCTGACATGTCATTGTGTAGAGAGGTTTTCAGCAGATTAAGGACCTTAGTCTACTTTTCTGACCATCCGGTGAGATCTTATCAGTTGCAGAATGCTTTTTGGGTGGAACAAGTTGGCAAGCGTTTGTATTTTCATCCTATGAAAGGAACTTGGTCTTCGCATATGACAGTTTGGCTTTGCGGCTCCGCTTTGCTTCTGGCTAATGCCGTTAATCCAGATTTGTCAGACAACGGGATGTGGTTGCACTTGCAGGTCCCACTGCTGAATCCATTTGTCTTGTGCAAGATCTAGAATTGAATGTTTGACATCAGGGAACAGGTGGTCCTCGGATGCTGCTGATGATGGGACAGTTTTGCTGCATCCGTAGTGCACCATGTGTCCAACCCGAGTCTCTCTGCAGTCCCGGTGGTGCTGAAATATAGTGCTGAAGTTTGAGGTATAAGGGAAAGCAGTCTTTCTTTAGTTCTGCTACAGGCCACTGAAAGGCTGTTGGCTGATTTGTGCTGTTGTAAAAATCAATACCATAATCATCCAAGTTTATATGACCACACAATGCATGACTAAAAGGTTATTCTTATGTTCATGTCGGCTTACAGCTGAGAATGGCTGTATGACATGGGAGTGTGGAAGAAGTATTGATCTGGCGGCAATTTTTTTTGTTCCCAATGTTCTGTGGCCAGTGGCTTCTTCTGGTGTGGCTTTGGTAGAGAACAGTTATTGAGTCAATATCCCTGGCCAGACGGATCCAAGTCAAGTGCCTGCAGCTGTTATGCCCCAGATAGCACACGTACGTCTGCAAGATGTCTGTTAAAGGTCTCTTGATCTGGAAAGCATCTGCTGTCTACAAACGCCTGACAGACGTCTTTAAGATGTCAGTTTTACATACATTCTAAATCATAAACATCTTAAAGACATCTAATAGACGTCTATTGTCCATTGGACAACGTCCTATAGACATATTGCAGATGAGCAAACTCTCTAAAATAGACGTCTTCGAGATGTACATGTGCTATCAGGGGCAGCACATGAACTGCAACTGTTAGAGTAGATTTGAAGAACATTGAAGCCAGAGTTGGTAGTCAGGTCTTCAAGTTCTCATGTTTCCTGTTAAACATACCCAGCATGGCTGAGCTTTTTTCAATCATAACTTTGGCATTCAGATGAGTTGTTGACAAAAAGCCATTTATATGGTAATTTCACGTCAAAATTTACTTTCAATGTCTAAAATTGGCAGTCTCTTAAAGGGTTACTCCACCCCAAAATGAAAATGTTGTCATTAATCACTTACCCCCGTGTCGTTCCAAACCCGTAAAAGCTTCGTTCGTCTTCGGAACACAATTTAAGATATTTTGGATGAAAACCGGGAGGCTTGTGACTGTCCCATTGACAGCCAAGTAAATAACACTGTCAAGGCCCAGAAAAGTATGAAAGACATCGTCAAAATAGTCCATCTGCCATCAGTGATTCAATCTGAATTTCATAAATCGACGAGAATACTTTTTGTATGCAAAGAAAACAAAAATAACGACTTTATTCAACAATTCATCTCCTCCGCGTCACCGTAGCGCCATTTTGGAGAGTATCCAAACTGCAAACTGCGTATTCTGTTCTGTGTCAGCCGCACCACACGGATACGCTGTTTACGTTCAAGTCAAAGCGTAAATAAACGTAGAAAATGTATCCGTGTGGTGTGGCTGACACAGACAAGTAGAACAGTATAAGCATTTTATGTTCAGTGGATACTCTCCAAAATGGCGCTACGGTGACGCGGAGGAGACAAATTGTTTAATAAAGTCGTTATTTTTGTTTTTGTTTGTGTTGTCTTTGCGTACAAAAGTATTCTCGTCGCTTCATAAAATTCAGATTGAACCACTGATGGGAGATGGACTATTTTGACGATGTCTTTCATACTTTTCTGGGTCCTGATAGTAGTGCTGGGCGGTACCGAATACCGGTGTTTATTTTTGTTATGATATGAATTTTTAAAATACCGCAATATTTTGTATGTCGCTTAAACAACGTTCGGAACGCGACACTGTTTGAAAGGGGTCCCTTTTCACTGTTGCACTGTGGTGAGGGAACAGCTGTATGTGTTACTAAGCGTGAAAGTTCAGAAACTGAAGCTGTAGAACTAATAGAATGTGATGACACAGAAGAACTCATCCACAATATCCACATTGACCGCCACAAATATCCACCGCCCCCTGCCATCAGCTCACAGTCTCACACACACGAGCACAACTTTAGCACTAGATTTAGCAACTTTCAGACCCTTTTAGTGGCTTTTTCCCATAGAATATTCATACTGACAAACCTAGCGACTTTTTTGGATAAACCTTAGCTATGGTTCAGTTGGAAGATTTCGGCAGTGCTGTCCCGCGAACGCGAGGTCTGACTTTGCTGGAGAAGTGTCACCGCTCTCGGCATCTGTTATGTGCAGTGAGCGGCAGAGAAGCAACACATTCAGTTGGCCGCACCGCAGCCGACTCGTCCATAAATGAGTACAAAACAGCATTTCCTAGCACCTGTCGCTTACTGATTGTTTGGAATTATAAATATGAGCGTAGTTCGTCTGTTAATATCACGTGCACTTTTTTTTTTTTAGTTTGTTATACTCGGACGCAGGCAGCACTGCATGAGACAAAAAAGTAATATAGCCAAAGCAACCTCACTCTTTAGTGTAGATGCATGTTGATTTTATCAGACGATGCCGCGATTATAAATGAGAGTGACTCCTGGTTAACGTGTATTAAAAGGGGTCGTGTTTAGTCACTATTTAGTGTGGAATTTTTTGACAATATTCACTCATCATGACAGTAAAATAGGGCATTCTAAGTCAATATACTGCAGTATTTCCTCTCTCAATCAGTAGAAAATATGGTTAACACCCGGTCATGCATGAAAAAAAATACCGTCATGTACCATGAAACCGGCATAATTTAGAAAAATACCGTGATATAAATTTTTGGTCATACTGCCTAGCACTACTTGATAGTGTAATTTACTTGCCAGTCAATGGGACAGTCACAAGCCTCCCGGTTTTCATCCAAAATATCTTAAATTGTGTTCCGAAGACGAACGAAGCTTTTACGGGTTTGGAACGACATGGGGGTAAGTGATTGATGACAAAATGTTCATTTTGGGGTGGAGTAACCCTTTAATGTGTCCAAATGTACTACTAAACTAGTACATTGAATCAGTAGGATGTCTGAATACACATGTCTGTTAACAGTAGGCAAATAATTTGTGGATGGCGTACCGTGTCCACTGAAATTCTGAAGTGTAGACACTTTGCTATCCCAGAAGTCCATGGTAGCTGAGGAGCTGTCAGATTTGAAAAAATTGAGAAACGTGAGGCTGGTGGATCTTTTCAAGTGCTAGAGATACCAGGAAAGTTGTATTTAACAATACTTAAGTAATGATTTTTGTCATTGTTGTTAGTATGTTACAAGTCAAATAAAATACAGGTGAAAGGAGAGTGCCAACATGGTGGGTGTCGTATATCTAGGAATATGTGCATTCTATAGACCTGCATACTTGAAGAACACAATTCATCAACAGTTGAGGTTCATCTATGTTCAGTACATTAATTCAGTACATACTCTGATAGAGCTTTTTTTTTTTTGTGAGAAAATGAGCCAAAAAATATTGATGACTCACCTTGCACTCATGGTAGTCTCTGCATTTTTGTCCAATAAGAATCTCCCTGACCACCTGCTTCTGCCTAGCAACAGCTGTTAGAAGATCATGGTTCATAGCTGTGGTGGAAACTAAAAGGTTTTGGCTATTCAAAAATAGTCAGATAATCAACCCCTCAATATGTCTTGCCCCAACTTTCTATTTCTACACAAAAATACGTTGTCACAGGAAAATATACTGCAATCATCAAGTCATTTCATGGGGTCTTAAAGGGATGGTTCACCCAAAAATGACAATTCTGTCATTATTTACTCACTCTCATGTAATTTCAAAACTGTACAACTGACTGTTGTACTTTTTTTGAAAAATGTCTCTGTTTTTTTTAATGTGTAAAATGGAAGTCACCAAAATGGTTTGGTTACCAACATTCTTCATAATATCTTCTTTTGTGTTCATCAGAAGAAAAAGTCATTTGGTATGACATGAGGGTGAGTAAATGATCAAAGAATTTTCGTTTTTAGCTGAACTATCCCTTAAAAAATCAATAAGCCAAATTATGGTCAGATTTCTCAGTTAACCAAACAGTACGCAACCAGTTTTGGCAATGTGTCTTTATGATGTGATGACTGTAAATACATGCATTGCTTGTTGTTCAGCAGAAGAGATGGCACACATTGTTCATTTGCGAATAGAACGCTCTGTCGGCAATTAAACTATTGGCACCAACTCTTAAAATAAATCCTCGTGTAGCCCGTAGTTAGAAGAGCAGGCTGCTTCTGACTAGTTAGCGGAGGGTATTCCTGCTCGTTCTGCCGCCGTTGGCATGGCTGCTGAGAGAATGCTGCACAATAAACGCCGCTTCCCAGTGCTGCCGCTGCAGAGGAGAGCCCATATGTCAAGAGAGAGTCACACAGAGAAAGAGGAGCTTGGGGGAGGGTAGGGATAGATGGGAAGGGGGTGGGTTTGGGGATGAGGGAGAGAGTTCTCAGAGCTAAAGCGGGACCCCCATGGGAAACAGTAAAAAGGACGCTCTAGTTTAATTTACCCCCTCCCTCACCTCCCCAAATCAAAACGGATGTACGTGCCTGTATTTTTGCCTTTCCTGTTTCTTTGTGATGCTTCAGCCGTCTCACGTAGCATCCTCACTGCTTGAGTCAGTTGAAAGTAGGCAGAGGAAGATTACAGGAGATCACTGGCTGAGACAGATTACTGAAAAACAATAATGTTGCAACAGTACCTGCTTTATGAGAGTCATTCAGTTGCTGTGTATTTTTTTTCT